CCATAGTGCCAACTAATCTCACAAGGACCTGGAATTCAGTACAGATAATACACTTGAAAGCTTTCAAAAGTGCTCCCATGAAAGCAGTTTGAAACAAATGCTGTCAGTCATTTTCACATTGCAGAGCCATCTGTAAGGTACTGGTTCCTGTAGTGGTAATTGCAGAGAAGCGTGTGAATCTTAAAAAAATCAAGAAAATCAAGTTTTCTCATGTTTGAAAGCTATTATTTCTTCTGGTAAATTCAGCTCTAAAAACAAGTCTTTCGGTCTCATTTTGCAGAACTTCAGATTAAATCAATGCACTTAGAAACATTAATAAAAAAATATGAAGCAAGGCCAAGCAAATCACTTATTACTCCTTACCTGTGAGTAAGGCATGATAATGAAGCCCTCTCTCCTTATCCCGATGAGAACACACATCAAACAAATAGGCTTTAATGGGCCCGTCAATGAAGTCCGCCACAAAGTCAAACATCACCACTCCAAACATAACCACTACGATCGCCCATGTCCTTTTAACATTTCTGTCCTCTAGTATAGCTGGAGGAGAGAAACAGCATCATGCTTAGTTTAATCAAAAGCACATTATACATTAAATGCTAAGGAATACTACTGAATATAACTTTTTAGAAATGTCAAAACTTAAGGTCAGGCCATTGCTCAGAAGGCAAAAGTGCAGTTTATGTTTTTCTTCCAGTTATGTTTACATTCATTTGTAGTCTTTTGTAATGCATAAATGAATGCACATAGAAATAAATAAAGGCATAAATTAATAACTAACTAACTAATAACAAAATTCAGCTTTTAAAAAGGCCAAAGGACACCTACTTGTAGTAATGAAAACAGAAGTTTTCTGCAGTATTTCAAATGTATGTGCTTGGTAAATTAACAAGCACCCTTTATTGAAAATGATTACAATTCTAGATCTGAAGTATTTAACAAGAAATATGGTAGGAATAGGTAAAAACTCCCCTAACGCTGTAAAAAAAAAAGAAAAGAAATCCATGCAATGTCCAGCTGTGTTATATTCCTGTCTAATTATACACAACTATTTTTGTCACATTTTCATTGGTCATTTAATGTGAAAAACACAGTGGAAGAGAAAACCAATTGTAATCAAATTTTTTTAATTATTTGCAGTTCCTATATCTGCTTACCCTTCCTTCCTTGGTCATTATTTTATTTTTAAATTTCAACCTAACCACATTTTTAGTGGTGAAGGGAGAGCAGATATAATTTGCTATCTGTTTTTAAAATTGCATTGAACACCAGTAGCTCCTGATTTCATGATCTGGACAGATCCATCACATTTACTTCATCAGCACCTACCTGATGTGACCGCATCTCCATTTCGAAAAAAAGTCAGGCCCACTAACATTATAATCCCGAGTAAGAGTATGTATGGTCGCCTTCGGCCCCATGGGGACCTACAGTAGTCGCTTGCGGAGCCAATGACCGGCTGTAGGATAAAACCCAAAACAGGGCTGATGAGCCACACCAGGCTGTACAGGCATCTGGGGAGTCCAACGCTCCCAGCGTGACAAACGCAGCCTCAACGGCATAGCAGAATTCCCTTCCAAACATGACCATGCCGTGCATGATAAGCCTTCCTCTTGAGCGCTTCGGGGGCTCCACCGCTCCAAACACAGCTGGTTCCATGCAGTCCAAATAGTCCTCTTTCGGTCCCGAGTCCACCGGGTAGTTCTCCATGGATGTGAGCGGGCTGTCCGGTGCAGAGAACCTGCAAGGTTGGTCCTCGGTAAGGAGAGTCACGGTTATCAGTGCTGAAAGTCTTAATTCCTACTGCATAGCTGGGGGATAAAACTCAAAACTAGTATTTACAATGTCAGCTGAGCGGAGAAGAAAAGGAGGTGGTCGCCTGGTTGGAATCAAGGAAGTAAGCCTTGCTTTTTTTCCTCATTTTCGTAGCCAATTGAGTAAGCATTGTTGCCAAAGGCCACTGGTGGAGTTGTTGTAAGCACGTGACACAAATTACAAGCTGTGGATGTTCTTCTCTTCCTTCTACTGGGTTACAACAGAAAATCAGTGCAAGACAGAACCAACAATTCATACTTAATGTAATAGCAAATAGCCATCAGACAATAAGAACAATAGAGTGTTTAGGGAACTTTAAATGGTAGAAAAAATGTAAATGTAGACCTAACAAGCATTCTTTTGTGGTCTTGCATAATGGGATGGCCCATTAGGTAAATCAAGTGATGTACCATGTGATTCCTCGGCAGACAGCTTCAAAGGGATTGGAAGACAAGAAGGCAATGCATTTATAGTCAAAGCACACATCCCCACCCAGTGTTCCTTCTCCATTCACAGGACTAACCTCTACTGCTTTGGTTTACTCAAATCTGTCATGAGACATTCACGGAGTCTGTTCAAAAGTCATGTGAGCGTCTCACGGAACATCATCCACTCTCTCTCGGACTGGACTTAATCTATAGAGGTCGAGCTGTGAATCACAGGGAACCAGTCAGATGGTGCTACATGGATTAAAAGGCCACATTCCACACATATCTCTACATGAATGAGAATCGATTTCAGGCTCGAGTAGTTATGAAACATCATTCAGCAACTCATTCTGTGGGATTACTATTAGTGTTTAACTTGAGAAAGGATGATTCCGAATGTTATCAAGAGAAGTATTGTTTGAAGCCAAACAGTCTTTAAAGTGTAAACTCTCAAGTTTTAATAACTGTTTTACAAATTCATTATGATTTTACCACAATCGTCAAGCATAAGAAAATGTGTCTTGCTCTATACAATCTCTTTTCTAACTTAAAAAACAAAAACAAAAAAACCCCACTACAGTTCAAAAGCTTGGGGTCAGTAAGATTTTATTTTTTGAGGAAATTAATGCTTTTATTAAACAAGGATGCATTAAATTGATCAAAAGTGACAGTGAAGACATTTATAATGTTACAAAAGATTTCTATGTCAAATTAATGCCATTCTTTTGAACTTCCTATTCATGAAAGATCCCTGGAAAAAAAATATGTATCTCAGTTTCCACAAAAACAGCGAGCAGCACAACTGTCTGCAACATTGATAATAACAAATGTTTATTGAACACCAAATCAGCATATTAGAATGATTTCTGAAGGATCATGTGACATTGAAGACTGGAGTGATGGCTGTAGAAAATTCAACTTTGCCATCACAGGAATAATTAAAACAGATTACAGTTAATTTAAGTTACAATACTATTTCACAATATTACTGTTTTTATTATATTAAAAGTAGCCCTGGTAAGTATAAAGGACAATTTATACCACACCAACATATGTAGACCAATACAATGGTCCCCAGATTACAGTACGTCATTTCATAGACATTTGAAGACCCAAAAAACACCAATTCAATAGGCAAAAATAAGCACTGACCTAGGCCTGGGCGATAAAACGGTATCGATATTTATCGACGGTACACCTTCTTCGATATCCATAGAAAAATTGTTCGATATAGTGCACAATATAGGCACATACTATGAGTGACGCAGACAGCACACACAATTTAACACATGCTGAAACGAGTGCTGTGCCTGCCTGTGATGAGGAGATTGTGAATAAAGAATGAATATTAGTCGAATTTAAAATAAACATTTGCATTTGATTGAATTTTAGGAGTGCGTCAGGGAGCGCCATCAGTGGCGCGCGAGATGCGGTGATGATTATGTAAGTGACGTTGTTGCATTTTAATGTTTTGTTAGTCTAGCCCACGAGAAGCACCGCTGCTGCATTATTCATTCAAAATATTAGAGAATATAGAAGCTCAATGAGGAGAAGATCTTTAATGGGTTAAAACCGAAACCAAGCCATTCACACAGAACGCATTCAGCGCATTTTTTAGACTGACAAATACGACTGCTGCACTCGTGTCTCACACAAGAGATGTATAAAAAGCCATGCAAAGTTAAAACAGTTTAAACTTTTAGAAAACACGTCACAAATTTGTGGAGGTTTATTCCTTTTCACTGCGTCTCATAAGTTTTCAAATGCAATCTGTGTGATTCGGCTCTTTGTATTAAGCAATGCATAAATACATGATGCTGTTTTGTTCATAATTGTTTATGCAATTTACGAAATTATATTTGATTTTTATGAGTTAATTTAGGCGTAATGCACGTTTTTATAGTTACTTCCTTGCGTTGACAATTTAAATGCGCTGCATTATTTTGTGCATTGCGCCCTCGGGAGACAATTATATTTATACAATAAAGACCTATTTAATCTGCATATAAAACATTAGAAATTAGATATGTTTAATTTTTATTGTGTTTGATTGTTAAAACAAAAAATATTTGTTGTTTGTTTCAATAAATTGTGTTAATTATAAATACAGTGGTTAAATTTAAACATTTTTTTCTATTGCTTTTTGTTTTAAAAAAGGTTATAAAAAAATTTCAATAATTATCGATACCGAACGATATGAAACATTATATAGTTGATACATTTTTTAGCTATATCGCCCAGCCCTACAAGGGGTATAATTAATTGCATTCATTTTAACAAATTATTTTTAATATAATTCATTACATAACTAAACACATTCTGTTGACATCTATAGTTAAAATACTCCAATAAAACCGTTTTTGTACCTTTGGCCATTTCTCCGTGCCGACCTTCATATCATATCGCACTTTTCCTCCCCTAGCATCAGTGAATTCCAGATAGTCATACCTACCAAAAAAACAAAAAACGCCTAATTAGTGTAAATATAATACAAACTTTAACTCAAGCCACACATGTATCTGTAACAGGAAAAGTGTGAGTTTGATTCCTGTTTTCACCAGAAGGTGGTAGTAGAATTGTAGAATAAGCTCTTCACACCTTTTCTCTGTTTCACAACGTTCATCAAACTCCACCTCAAAGGATGTGGCACCAGGACAGACAAAGACGGTGGTCTCGTGTCTGCTGTTCTCATAGTTATGAGGTGACTCCATATGCCACGCGTTGATAAATTTTTTAGCTATACTGCCATTGAACACATTGATCCAACAAACGTGTCTGTTGTCATTGTCAGTACAGTGTGAATTGGCCTTAAGTGACAAAAACAAAACTTACTGACCCTATTACAAATAGTAAATACAGGCCATAAAACAGCTATCTGTATTATTAAAAGCCCACTACCATGTTGAACAAGTGTTACATTTTATACAAGTAGCGATATTATGACAACAGAAAACTTCATCTTAAGCGGAATCATTAATTGGTTTTATCCTAATACCATTATCTTGGCTCATCAGCGCTGCCTAACAATTAGGCAAAGGCAAATATTTCACTCAGTTAATTAGTCTATGACTCACACTCAGCTATTCTTGCTAAAGGCACTTATTAGTCAAGGATTTCAATTCAGAACCAAAAGTGGTACACTTTAATCAACTACAAATAAAATGCCCTCACAATCCTATTATTAATTCAGAACAGTCTTAAAAAAATAAGTCAATATTGAATATCTTTGTTGAATGAGGTTGCTGACAAAAATAGGGATGTTAAGATTAATACAGAATATTTGCAACAGCCTTTAAATCCCACTTGACTTTCACCGCAGCAATTACAAATATGAGTTGAATGCTTTGGAAATTTTAACCGAAAAGTCCAGGATTATTTAGTGCACTTCGACAGCAGCACCCACTGATTCACAAGGGAGAGTAATTTTGTTCTGAAATGCCCCCTCACACTCGAGACAGAGGAGTTGAAATGCTCAGATTCCCGTGCTGCATCACTGGCCACAAAGTGTAATGATTCTCCAGTCAGAGTCTTTGATTTATAGACGCGCTTTAGCTTCGTTACACTCTATGATACCGGCAGACAAGAGCTGTTCTATTTGTGCTTGCTCAAACCCGTACTCCTTCAGCACAGAGCGAGTGTGCTCTCCGATGAAGGGGTCCCGGGAGTGGCAGGGCTCTGCGGGGGAGCGGGATAGAACGGGTGCAGGTCGGGGGCTAATTTCCCTCTGAGAGTCCTTGAAGAACGACCCCCGTGCCTGGTTGTGGGGGTGAGAGAGTACCTCATCCAATGACAGCACAGGGGTGACACAGGCATCTGTCCCATTGAAAATCCGACTCCACTCCGCTTGCGTCTTGGTGGCAAAGACCCGGGTGAATGTCTGCCTGAGCTGTGGCCAATCAGATACACTCATCTGTGCGGGCAGGTCAGCATCATTTAAGACCAGACCTGTGGTGAGAGAGAATTAGATAAGGAAGATAAAAAAAAGAGGAAAGAAATCAATAAAGGAGTTTAGAGGACAAAGATCAAAGAGATCATGAAAGATTTTGAATACAGAAGCCATTAGTACATTGCACTGGCCACAGCAGGTGACTTATAAGGAGACTTTCTACTTTTGAGGGCCAAACATGAATAGCAATAGAGTCATTATGGTTTCAAAGCAAGATTAAGTACGCGGCATTAGCACTTGGGTCATCGGGACACAGGGTGAACACCTATGCACATACTAATAAAGCATTTCCATGTAGTCGGCAGCCATGTAGCTAGACAAATGTGACCCTGAGAATTTTGTGGTTAATTGTACTGAGATGTCATTCAGGTAATAGGTTTATTTCAGGTGAATTAAAAGCAGCTTGATGTTTAGATAATAAAATAAAATAATACACAGAGATAAGAGATAAAAATAATAACACCATAGAATGCCAAAATAAGAGAATAAATATAATTACAAATATCAAGAAAATAAAACAAAAAATGAGAATAGAAAAAATAAAATAAAAATAAGATCTTAAAATGCAAAAAAATAGAATATACAATTAAAAAGAATGAGAATATACTGTATATCATTAAAAAGAATAAGAAAATTAAAAACAAGAGATCAGAAAAAATAAGATACATGCCAGTTGTTTTTAAAAACATCTATTTAATGATGAAAAAAAAAAAGGTAGAATTTCAGCTGTCTGTGTGGCTGCCTGCAGGCTTAAATGAGTAAATACTTAAAAAAAAAAAAAAAAACACTAAAATTACATATGACAACTATCCTGAAAAAGACAGCAAGCATTCATATCACAATTCACACCATGAGAACATCCACCATATTCAGAAGATGACACAGGACCATATTAAGAAGAAATGTAATGCACTGACCTTGAATAAGCTGTTGATAGAACTGAGGCTCAATCGCCCCCACTGCCATATACTTTCCGTCAGACGTACGGTACGTATCATAGAATGGAGCACCACTATCCAGCATGTTTTCCCCACGAGGATGATTCCACAGACCGAGGCTACGGGACTTCCACATGAAGGAGCCGACATATGCGGCACCTTCCACCTGCACATAAAACAAGAGGGGTGTTCATAAAAAACATAAAATTTAATCCAAAAAAATACAATAGATTCCATTTAAAATAAAAAAAATTGTAATCCATTATCTGCCATTATTCTGTCATGCTGAGCTTTGGATAAAGCAGCAAGGTCACTAAGGAAACATTATGAAGGGCTAAATCCTCATTAAAACTGTAGTTGTCATACATATTCATCAGATTCAATTTACAATAACTTCATATGCAGCAAATGGTGCAGATAATCACATATATTTACATACATGAACGCACTGAACAAGATAGAAATGTGGTACGATGGGGGAAGATTTAAGCAACTTTGTAATTCAAGCACACCACAGTAAAACACAACCTGCATTTCTGTAGAGGTTTGTCAGTAGATTAATTTCTACATCCATGGCACAGCAGGACTAGAAAGCAACCATATCATGAGTAATCAAAATGTCTTTGATCTTTTATGCATAATAAAGCTTGATCATGTCCTATGAAAACATAATGTAACCTTCAGATATTTCATCCTCAGTCCACAAAAAGCATTTATTGAAACTACACATTAAAAATGTAGTTAATTTTGCAGCGGTATACAGAATTCATTAAATACATGACTGTCCACGCTTATGAAAAATGGATTACATTTATTTTTAACAAGGTCTCTGATCTTTTTAGTCTGATTTCAAGAGTTTGTGTGGCATATTTCAGCATTGATTTTGTGAACCAGTCACAATGTCATACTGTAGTCTTCACAAAGGCTGTTATTAGAAGAAGGGGAAGGTAAAAAAACTATATTTGACAACAATAAACTCTCAAAGGCAGTGGCAGAGAAAGCAATACATATTGTTAATAATTTCACATGCAATGGGGACATTTCTCAAAGGGGCAGAAAAAAAAAATCAGGCTGTTTACTTCAGAGAAAGGGTGAAAATGGCAATGAAAAACTAGAATATGACTGTCTTACACAAATAAACTCACTAGCATAAGTAGACTTATGTCAAATATGTATGATATGACCCCTTTAAAGAATTATAGCACTTAGATCTTTTCTGAATGACAAATTTGGCATCAAGGCTGAGGTTAAAGGGTCTGTAGCAAGTGTTCCAGAAACATTTTCACACATGAAAAGAAATGTTTGTAGTTCAAATCTCTCACAAGATGCATGCATAAATATATACACATTTCAAAGACTGTGACCTTGCCAAATTAACTTTAATATGGATATACTTCATATATTTCCCAGTGAGCCCAGCCTTCAAAGAGAAATTGACAATCTGGGTTTCTATTTGTGCCCATGATTGGCCTGACCACCAAGAAGTCACTCTCCCAGAAGATGCCTGTCGCTTGGCCTAATACTGAATGTTTTATCACGTTATGCCTCAAAAAGCTATTTTTTTCACACTTCCACCTTTCCTATTGGTCAGAGAAAGGCGTTCAGCAAAGTGGAATATTTAACTATAGTTTTGTAAAAATAATGAGTTAATGCAAGATGTTTTTCCTTTTTCGACTTGTTTGGATGTCAATGTGAAGACGACAGTGGTCAAAGACTACTTGGGATTTAAACCGAAACATAGCCCCATAACAAATGTTGCATAACACAATTAGGAAATGCTAATGAAACACCCAGGCCGCCTCTTAAATTTCTAATAAGTATTTAAAACTGAAATGAAAAAGCATAAAGTTTGCAGGTTATAATACATCCAAATTGTCATGCAAGTGAAAAACGATTTGCCTGCCTTGCGGATTAATAACACTGACATCGCTAAAAACAGCTGTCAGTATCAAACCACAGGTATTATCAAAGAGTGGCAAGGTGACTCTCACAGGAATGTGCTTCAGATATCTTTACTGCCTAACAGACAAACATCTAATCATCATTACCACAGCTCCTGCCCACATCGACATTAGCTTGGCGCACACGCGGCTATCAGGAGAAACTCTCCACTAGCACTGCAGCTCTGCTCCAGGTCTGAATTGCTAATGTGAGAGGTACTTCAATATTGGATTATCACATATTAACTTTTATGTTTACCACAGTTTATTTCCTTAAGGGCTTAAAGTGGCAGAGATCATACTGTGTTCGAGCAAATTACATAACCTCAGTTGAATTAGAGCTCTATTATCTGGTTGAGGTTTTCTAACGCATAAAAATGCACTCAGGGCTAAATGAAATGTCATATTTAATTAACAAGCAGAATATCAATTGCTAAACGTTGTAATTTTTCAGTAGAGAAAACCTAGTGTAGTGTGATCAAAACAGGGTACTTTAATGAACTGACCAATGTGCCAGCAAACATTAAGCTGCTTTTTTTCCAACTGCTTCAACAAACACCAACAGGGTAAACACACAGATTTAATACAGCAAGGGTGAACTAGACTCGAGTGGTGTGAACAAACCTTTATGTGTGCTAGATGATTCAACACAAAAACCAAAAGAAATTGTTGTTATATTATATAATAATGTTATATGTACACTGGAGAAAAAGAAAAAAAAAAGCTTTCATAGGCAGCCTAGAATATCATGCACTTTCACAACAAAAACTTTTCTTCTTTATTAAATAATAATAATTAAAAAAAAAACTCTTTGTTCTCTTTCTCTGTATCATTGTCTACACTGGTGATTTGTTCAACTAACTTTTTTATTTATACCAAACAAGGCCATAATCATATCTAGAACATTAGGGGGACTATTGTTTTGAGGAAAATATTAAGACCAGACCACTATGGTAATGGTAAAGGAACTAAATAAATAATAAGATTTTTTGTAAAGTAATCAATCTGAACTGCAAATAATATTTTTATTTTAAAATATGCACCCATTCAATTTTAGTTGTAGGCCTAGCCTATTCCTAATATGTTGAAAACGCAAGACAGAAAATGCTATTGTCGTCACAATAATTATGAATTACATGCAACTTGAACTGTAATGAACTGTACCAGCACATCAGTGAGCAGCAGACAGCCCACCCTGATGCTATTCTCATCTTGGCTGGGGATTTCAACCACGCAGACTTAAAGAGTGTGTTCCCAAAAATACACCAACACATAGA